GATATCATCCAATGAGAGGGGCGGGGTCACTTCTGGGAGATGTGTGTACAGGACGATACAATGTATCTCTTCTATGAATATATTCCCTATAGAGGAAGATATAAACACAATGGGAGGAGTTTATCAAATCTGGAACCAATCAGCTTCTCTGTCTCATTTTCAAATTTGCGATTGGAAAGTGAGAGGAGCAGCAGCAGACTGATGAGCTCACCTCTCTGTCACTCTGCTCTCTCCTCCCATCAGCGTGCCTCTGATAAAGCACATGAACAGATGGGGGTTTCTTGGACGGCTTCACACGAGAGACGATATTATTTGCCGATCCCGGAGCTCAGATTTAATCACAAAGGACGTTTCCTGCCTTCTGATTGGCTGAAGCGTTTTGCATTTATTTGAAATCACATAAAATATTTACAGAAAGAGAAAAACAATCCCAGAAAATGTCATTTCAGCCGCGGCAGCAGCGGGGCAGATCACATGACTCCTCCTTCGGACGATTGGCTCCTCCCAGTCCTCGGCCGCCGCCACGTTGTTGTTTTTTTTTCAGGCTCCGCCCTTCTTCTGGCACACTTTGTGTTCCGGTTTGGCGCGGTGGAACCACTCGTGCCAGGAGCCGTCGTAGACTGAACAATCCCAGCGCTGATCTGTGGACTAATTATCTCTGCCGGCTATTCGTGGAGAACCAGCTGCATCTGCTCATCGCCGGAGTTGTAGCCGAGCCGCCCGGGGGGCAGTGCAGGCGCCGAGCAGGAAAACAGCCAGCAATAGAAAATATGTGAAATATTCTACGGCGAGAGACTAAGCCCCGCCCCCAACAGAGGAACAGATACCGAGAATGACACCCGGTATACAGGACAAGGGAAGTGGTACTGTGCAGAGTCCATACACAGAGCATGAGAACAGATACCGAGAATGACACCCGGCATACAGGACAAGGGAAGTGGTACTGAGCAGTAGGGAGAGTTGGGAATATAATGGAGATCCGTGTTGCTCGATGTATAATATGAATACATATTTCTGGGCAGACACGTCACACGTCACACGTCAGTGACACGGATATTATGAGCGATGTGACGGAGGGAAATGTATCTTCACATAATAGTAATAAAGCTTTACACTGATATGCTGGTTTATCTTTGCCGATTGATGTATGACTGATGTATGATTGGTGTATGACTGATGTATGATTGGTGTATGACTGATGTATGATTGATGTATGACTGATGTATGACTGAGGTGTGATTGATGTATGACTGATGTATGATTGGTGTATGACTGATGTATGACTGATGTATGATTGATGTATGACTGATGTATGATTGGTGTATGATTGATGTATGACTGATGTATGACTGATGTATGACTGATGTATGATTGGTGTATGACTGATGTATGACTGATGTATGATTGATGTATGACTGGTGTATGATTGGTGTATGACTGATGTATGATTGATGTATGACTGATGTATGATTGGTGTATGACTGATGTATGATTGATGTATGACTGGTGTATGATTGGTGTATGACTGATGTATGATTGGTATATGACTGATGTATGACGGATGTATGATTGATGTATGACTGATGTATGATTGGTGTATGACTGATGTATGATTGGTGTATGACTGATGTATGATTGGTGTATGACTGGTGTATGACTGATGTATGATTGGTGTATGACTGATGTATGATTGGTGTATGACTGGTGTATGACTGATGTATGATTGGTTTATGACGGATGTATGACTGATGTATGATTGGTTTATGACGGATGTATGATTGATGTATGATTGGTGTATGACTGATGTATGATTGGTGTATGACTGATGTATGACTGATGTATGATTGATGTATGACTTATGTATGATTGATGTATGACTGGTGTATGACTTATGTATGATTGATGTATGACTGGTGTATGACTGCTGTATGACTGGTGTATGACTGATGTTGTATGACTGATGTATGATTGGTGTATGACTGATGTATGATTGATGTATGACTGGTGTATGATTGGTGTATGACTGATGTATGATTGGTGTATGACTGATGTATGATTGGTGTATGACTGGTGTATGACTGATGTATGATTGGTTTATGACGGATGTATGACTGATGTATGATTGGTTTATGACGGATGTATGATTGATGTATGATTGGTGTATGACTGATGTATGATTGGTGTATGACTGATGTATGACTGATGTATGATTGATGTATGACTTATGTATGATTGATGTATGACTGGTGTATGACTTATGTATGATTGATGTATGACTGGTGTATGACTGATGTATGACTGGTGTATGACTGATGTATGACTGATGGTCTGGGGGAGTTATTGGGGAAGAATATTGGTTGCAGAGATCCCCAGCATGTGAACGGGGACATGGAAGGAGACACGGGTGTCCGTAGACCTGGTTGGGATTCTATTGGAGCGGCAACACACACGTATGTGGGAAGAGGAAGATCGCAGTGTGAAAAGATACATTGAGGGGAATTTATTAAAACCGGAGCAAACAGAATCCGGAGCAGCTGTGCACGGCAGCCAATCAGCTTCTCTCTTCAGTTTGCTCGGGTAAGATCTGAAAATGAGAGAGAGAAGCCGATTGGCTGCCGTGCACA